GGCCATCCTCATCATGGATCTCTAACTTTGGCATCAGATCAGAACTGCAGAGGTCTGTTGGCTGGTTAACGAAGGGGGCTAGAATTTCTGATTGCTGAAATGGAACATGCTACAACTTCAGGTTCCAAGAAGTTAGTCTGTTGTTCATGCTTCAAAGTCTCCTGTAAGGAAACTAAAATCAGTCACATGGAATATGACAGATGTCTTGTTCTTATTTTCAGTGGTGTCAGTACTTCAGATGAAGCCGATAGTTAGGAATTGGACCTCCAATGCACCAAGACTTATAGTGACCACTTTATTAAAGTGTAACACATATAAAAAAATTGTAGCTTCTTGTGTCCATCTCCTGTGATATCCAGTTAACAATTCACAGGCTGTTTGAGTCAAACTGTGTTGTTTTGTAATTGGAAAAAAATCAGATGTCATTAAAGTCCATGTCATTGAAGTCCATAAGATTCCCTGGGCCAAATTGAAGGCAGGATGGTGCCCTCAATCTGAATTTAATATTTGAGATATGGGTCAGTGGCATTGCATTTACTTGTTTTCATTAATGAAAACTACAGGTAAGTAGTGGACCAGAACTGGTCCTCAGTAGTTTCTGTAAAAGTTGTTGTGTTGAAAAAGAGGTACCATTCTGACAGAAAAAACTATCTTAGCTGACTATACAAAAAATAAGGGATGTATAAAGAGTAAGTTGATGAACAAATCTGGTCTAGTAACTGTGAAATAAATTAAAAGCTGACTGTTAAATAGTCAAGTAACAAATGAAAAATCTGAAGTGCACAGTGTTGTATACAAACTACCGTAATGTTGCAGTGTTGGGAAATATCTGATGTGCAACAAAAGTTAGATGTAACCTACTGCTTCTGACAAATGACAAAAGTTTAATCTTTGCTAAATATTTATATTAATTTTCTTGTAAATAAAGGAAAAGACCAACGTTATGACTGTTACAACGACTGTTTCTGGACAGAAATAACCCCTTACAGAAAAATTCAAACACTTAAATAGGTCTTATTCCGATACTACTTTTACATCGGAAATGTTGTTATCTAGCCAGGTCCTAATGACTAAAATAGAACTTGAACACAGTATCAGATGCCTTCAGATAGCTTAAAGAAAAGCATATCAAACTCTACTGGAAGTATGACAAACACTTTCACCAGATTTAAGGAAACATTTTTTTGGCTGCTTATAGGTTTATAACTACAACTAAAAAAATCTGCATAGCATCTTTGTGGTCTGCTGAGCTAAATTTCATTGGCCACAATGTTTAACTTAAAGACTGGAATGTTTTTGATCAGTTTGATTGTAAACCTTCTTTACTATAAAGTGGCATTGATTTTTATTTAAAAAACATTGGGATTTATGGCTCTAATGAGTTATTAAAAGAACTAGTTTTGCTGGTGTTTGTCCTTATTTTCAAGTCTAGCCTAGGTAACAATATTACTTGGCAGCCTATGTAAAATGAGAAACATTACTCCTGCTCCTAGAGGGCATGTATCTATATCACAAACATCCCTTCTTAGCACGGAAGAACAATGATTTCATTACCAGGAAGACTAGGGGCGGGTCTTACCAGTCAATAGAGAGTTTTGCTGGCTTGCACTGTTACTTTGCTTTTGCTACTTCTTTAAATGTACAAAGCAAATTCTTCATTTTTTTTCATTTAATCCTAGTACCTTTCCTAGATATGAAAAAAATATCTTTTAACTTCGTTTTTTTTCTTCCCTTTTTTAATGTTTGAATTTCAATGTCTTTGCATGACAACCCCCTCTTCTCTCCAGGGGGAGGGAAAAAAAACTAATTTTGGTTGGAAATTTTTGCTTTGCATTAGAAAAAGCCTAAATTAAAATCTCATTTGTAGTCAATAAAGACAGAAGCCCGTTGCTTGAATATTCTGGAGTTACCTGAATACCTTCCTTCCAATAAATTCATACCTGGAAATTTTTTTTAACTGAAGGCAATACCCTTTAAATAGGGGAACTATTAAAGCACTTTCAATAATTGGGGTTCAGTAGAACCATGCTAAATCCTACTACATTTACCAAAACACTTCATGTATTGTACATGATAGTATCACCTTCTTGTCAGCAAAAAACCTTTAGTGGAGTAGTAAGAGTAATTAAAAAAAATCTTCAGAACTTCTACAAAATGCACTATAATAATTTACATTATACAGGAAAGCATTATCTTAATTCAAA